GACATTACTGGATCAGCTCTGAACTGGTTTTCCTCCTATCTCTCTGACAAGAGTTTCTCTTGTCCATAGGAACATATTTGTCAGACTCTGCTCCTTTGTCCTGTGGTGTGCCTCAAGTTCCCCTGCTGTTCAGTCTGTATATGCTTCCTCTTGGCAAGATTAGTGGTAGCTTTGAAGATATATCTTATCATTGGTATGCTGATGACATCCATTATATTTATCTTTTAGTCCTCATAGGCTAGACAATCTGTATGTGTTGCACAATTGCTTAGCCTCCATTAACAAATGGATGGCTGACAACTTCTTGCAACTAAATAAAGACAAAACTGAGGTGGTGATTTTTGCCCCAGACAACGTTACCCCTAAGATCAGGCAGGCCATTGGGGCTCTATCACCCCTGACGGTAATGTTGTGCAAAATTTGTCATTTTTGGCAAATCTATGTGTCATGTTAATGTGGTTATTTCCATCTCAGGAACATCGCTAAGATTAGATCTGTGGTTTCCAAAGAAGAGATGGATGCTTGTTCATGCTTTTATTTCTTCTTGTCTGGATTATTGCAATGTACTTTACTCTTGATTATACAAATCCACCATGGAAAAACTGCAAGTTGTACAGAATGCAGCTGCAATGCTTTGTCTAAAACCAACAGGAGATCACATATTACTCCTGTGCTTAAGGCTCTTCATTGGCTTCCAATTGGTTTAGAGTACATTTTAAAATTTTAATCATTACTTACAGAGCCTCGCATGGTCAAGCTCCCTCTTACATCCAGGATCTGTTGCACGCACGCTCTCTGAGGTCTTCTGGCTAAGACCTTTTAACTGTTCCCACAACACACGACATAGATTATGTAAATACTTCTATTTCCCAAGGAAAATCTCTGGATATGACGCTCAGCATGTGTGCTCAACTTCTTTGGTCGACCATGGCGAGGCCTGTTCTGTGTTGAACCGCTGTATGGTCTTGGCCACCGTGCAGCAGCTCAGTTTCAGGGTCTTGGCAGTCTTCTTAGCCTCGGCCATGTAGAGCAGCCGTTCTTTGTTTCAGATCCTCAGAGAGTTCTTTGCCATGAGGTGCCATGTTGAACCTCCAGTGACCAGTATGAGGGAGTGTGAGAGCGATAACACCAAATTTAACACACCTGCTCCCCATTCACACCTGAGACCTTGTAACACTGACGAGACACATGACACCGGGGAGGTCCCTCCTTTTACAGTCTATCATCGCTGTGCTCCATGTTTGTTACCCGTGTAAGACCTGTGACATCACTTCCTTTTTCAGGGGCCACTTGGTTGAACAGAGGGTGAATGAGACCTTTCATCATCTGTGTTTACAGACCTGCTGGTTCAGCCCAACATCACTGTGTCCTCCTCCATGGATGGGGTCTCCAAGGCCCAGCAGCAGGGGTTTCAGGTGTCCAGGGGCTCCACCTTCACCATCAGCTGCTCCATCCAGCCACAGTACCCAGGAGGCTCCTTCCAGCTCGCCTTCACCTCCTCCAACACATCACACAACTACACCCAGCCAGCTGTCAATCACTCTGCCCACTTCCTGTTTCCTGCTGCAGAGCCCGCCCACCAAGGAAGCTACAGCTGTGTTTATCACCTCCATGTTTTTTCTCATAACTTCTCCTCTGAGAGCCGTCGGCTGTCTCTCACTGTCTCAGGTAAGCTGAAGCAGAGCAGCTGAAACGTCACACTGACTGTTTCCATGCAGCTTTGGAAAAGATGATCCGTCCAAACTGACTGAACACGATCGCTGTTTCCAAGCATGTTGTGTTTTCTGACTGACTCTGTGACTGATGTCAGGTACGGTGGCCCTGAGACCTGAGCTAACATGTACGTTTTGGTGGCGTTTTCCTGTCGTGCCCAGTGTGTTCGTCACTTTTTAGTTTTCCCTGGTAACAGTTTCAATTGTCTTCTGTGCTACTTGCAGCATTTATGTATTTACAGTGGTTTAAAAAAAGCCCCCTTCTTGATTTATTATTATTTTGCATGTTTGTCACCCTGAAATGTTTTAGATCATCAAACTAATTTAAATATTAGCCATAGTTAACACAAGGAAACACAAAATGCAGTTTCCAAATGAAGATTTTTTTATTATTAAGGGGAAAAAATCCAAACCTATATGGCCCTGTGTGAAAAAGTGATTCCCCCCAAAACAAAATCACCTGTGGTTAATTACATATTTGGAAAGAGTTCAGTTTTTCTAGCCACACCCAGGCCTGATTACTGCCACACCTGTTCTTAATCAAGAAATCACTTAAATAGGACCTGCCTGAAAAGTGAAGTAGACCAAAAAATCCTCAAAAGCTAGACATCATGCGCGATCCAAAGAAATTCAGGAACAAATGAGAAACAGAGTAATTGAGATTTATCAGTCTGGAAAAGGTTATAAAGCCTTTTCTAAAGCTTTGGGACTTCAGCGAACCACAGTGAGAGTCTGTGGTAAATGGAACCATGAATTCTGCTGTCTCCCAAAAATCCTGAAGGAGAATGTCCGGCATCTGTTCGATACCTCAAGCTGAAGTGCACTTGGGTTCCGCAGCGGGACAATGATCCAAAATACACCAGCAAATCCACCTCTGAATGACTTAATGAAAACAAAATGAAGACTTTGGAGTGGCCTAGTCAAAGTCCGGACTTGAATCCAGGTAAAAGAATGGCTTGAAAACCCTCCAATGTGGCTGACTTACAACAATTCTGCAAAGATGAGTCGGTCAAAGTTCCTCCGCAGCGCTGTAAAAGACTGCCAGTTATTGCAAACGCTTCATTGCAGTTGTTGCTGCTAAGGGCAGCACAAGCAGGTATTAGGTTTAGGGGGCAATCACTTTTTCACACAGGCTCCATGTAAGTTAGGATTTTTTCCCCCTTAATAATAAAAACCTTAATTTAAAAATGCATTTTGTGTTTACTTGTGTTATCTTTGTCTAATATTTCAACTTGTTTGATGATCTGAAACATTTCAGTGTGACAAACATGCAAAAATGCAAAAGAAATCAGGAAGGGGGCAAACACTTTTTTTTTACACCACTGTAGATGTTTTCTCACTTTGCAGCATCTTTTCTAAATGCTGTGCATGTGTTTCTCACCCTCCTCCTTCCAAACAGGGAGCTAGCTAAACTAAGCAGTAAACTCTGCATCAGGGTCCTCCACCATGTCCTCCCAGCTAGCACTAGCCACAGCTGTCTTCTCCCTGGGCTTTGCAGTTGGGAAAGGCAGAGGTTGGTATTTGAAGCCACCAACACCCTGAAGCTCTGTTGCAGAGTCATTAGCATGGAGCTACAGCGCTCACAGGAGTCAGGGAGCGATACCTGGGCATGTTTAACTCCCACTCCGAGATGCAGAGGACCTGAGTTATAGTTTGGTAGGAAAACTACCACGTCAGCCCACATATAAAAATCTCACCCAAGTCCAGTTTTTTCCTACAGGCCAGAATCACACACCTAGCCAAAGCCTGCTTAAACGTGATTGGTCGATACTACCTGGACTACAAACTGAAACCAGATTGCTTCCTATACCAAAACCTTGTCTCTTGCTTCCAGATTCTGCATTCAGATATCTGTTGATAGAGATTACTGATGGACTGAAGTGGTTTTGGGAGATTTCAGGTCACTACAGTTTGTGTTTAACAGGAGCTGATGGACTCATGATGTTGTGTGATGTGATGACTGTCCATGTGTTTGTTCAGATCCAACAGGTCTTCTCATCAAAGTGGTCGTCCTGCCGCTGACTCTGCTGTTGGTGATCGCTGCCCTTTGTTTCTACTATAAGGTACTGACACATGTCTGTTGTTTAGAGGACTGAGATGAAGCACTCGGTCTGTGTTTACTGACCTGAAGAAGAGGAGGAGTGATGCACTAACTCTCATGTGTGCTGTCATGTCTCTCCAGGCCAGCAGGGGGCAGAAGCCGGGCAGGCAGGAGGACATTGAGCTGGATTATTATAACGTGGGTGTTTCTGCAGCTGAAGGAGGGTCGACTGAAGAGGAAGGAGCTCAGGGAGCAGAGTAGGACCTCCAAGGAGCTCATCTCAGCTGCCTCACAACCCCCCATCAGCTCAGTCAAGGATTTTACACTTTTGTACTGATGTTCCCTTTAAACAATACGGCTGGAGTTATTAGATTACATTATAAACTCTGTTTTTATTACTCTCAACATGAACAGAGCAAAACCAACAACTTGCCAGTCTTTTCAGACTTCCTGTCTTTGGCTCTCAGCTCCAAGGCCATTGGTTCCTACTGAAGACGTTAATTTTTAAAAAGTCCTCACAAATACTGTTAAAAGAAATTTACTCATACCCATGCCAAATTTTGATACTTAGAAAATTTTCAATTTACCAGTAGGTTTCATTAGTCTGGCAATGACATAAACAAATGACAAAGACAGCAAGATATTGTGTCAGAGATGTTAATGATAAATCTTAACTTTTTCTATGTTGTCATTTTTTTTTAATTTGTACTGAAAATGTCATGTCTTCCCACCCTCTGTTGCACCATAGTTGGCATTATCAGTGCCCCAACAGTCTGGACCCAGATGACCCAAACAATTACCGCCCAATCTTTAATCTACCTTTCCTCAATAAAATCATGGAAAGAGCTGTGGCTGCCCAACACCTATGTTCCACAATAAACTATTTGAACTTCAGTTTGGTTTCGAAGTGCATCACAGCACCAAAACTGCTCTCATCAACATCACAAATGACCTTCTCATTGCAATGGACAGCGGTCTCATCAGTATCCTCATCCTCCTTGACATCTCTGCAGCCTTCGACATTATCTTACACACCCTCCTTCTTTACAGCCTCTCTGAACTTATTGGCCTTACTGGCATAGCGCTCTCCTGGGGCCATATTACAGAAACTTCCTAACCGGTAGATCCTATCCTTACTGCTTGGAAACCATGGTAATAGGGTTAGGAACTTATTTAGGAAAAAGGCCATTACAGATGAACATTTACTAAGTCAATGGATTTCTCGACGGAGGTCACAAACACCTCCAATGCATCTGACTTGAAGTTCAATGATAGATTTTGTTTCCGCTCCATTTTCAGTGTACGTTTCAGAAAAAAAAACTAACAAAAAAACAGCAAAAAAAGCCGTTTAGCTCGGCGAAATTATTAAATAAGCATTGGTTGCTAGGTAACAGGCATAAAAGTTGATAACCGATGTTGGATCGAGTATTTAGGATTTCCTAACCTGGATAAGATGAAGTAAGATAAGACAGGATTCCGAAAGTTAGTTAGGATTTGCTTCTGTAATACCAAATTGAGAAAAATCCTATCTTAGACTCTTCCTGTCTTAAAAGACACCTATTAAACTTCTTTTCCAGTCCTATATTGAAGTTCTGTGACTACTGCATGGCAGCTTTAAATGATTCAAAGTTCAAAAAGAAATTTTATTTTCTCTCCATGAAGGCCTTCATTTCAGCCTCTGTCTGAAACAAGCTGCAAATACTGCTGTCTCTGGAAGCCCCCCCCCACCTCAAAGCCCGCTGTCTTCTGATTGGCCAAGCCTGAAGCATGTTACCAGGCTGTTGTTGTTGCCGGGCAGAACAGGCAGACTGAGCCGTTGCTTTGCCATTGCTATGCCCATATGTGGAACGGAGCTCTTGATAGAAAAAGCAGTTCAAAACAGAGCGTTCAGAACAGGAGGAAATCTGAGGTTTTTGCTCACAGGGATTTCTTTTAAATACTTTAACCTCATTTTTTTAAGCTTTGGCCATGTTTAACATAAACATCCAACATTGTAACATTGTAGATAAGTCATAAAATGTGGAAAAGCATAATAGGTCTCCTTTAACTTAAGACTTAAGATAGGAACTTTCTGTAATACGGCCCCTGGTTCCTGTCCCATCCCTTCAACAGGAAACGAAATATCACCTTCAAAGACTTCAGCTCCACGCTGGCACCAGTTAAAAATGGTGTGCCCCAGGGATCTGTACTTGATGGACCCCTTCTTTTCAATATCTACATGCTACCCCTTGGCCAGATTACATGGACTTAATTTCCACTACTATGCTGATGAAACCCAGCTGTACATCAGCAACCAACCCTCAGCACAGCTCCCACCATTGCCACTTGTTAACTGCCTGCGAGACACAAAGACTTGGACACCTGCTAAATTCCTTAAACTAAAACAACAATAAACTGAACTCATGGTGGTGGCTCCAGCGTCACTGCTGAAGAAGGTCTGTGACGTCCTCCTGGAGGTAGATGGCTGCTCCCTTTCCGCATTCCCTGAAGTCTGAAATCCGGGAGTCATCCTGGACTCACCCTTTCATTCTAGTCTCACATTAAAAACCAAACCAAATCTGCCTTCTACCATCTCAAAAACATTTCCAGGCTCCGGCCCTCACTCGCTGATTCTTTAGCTGAGACTCTTATCCACTTTTTCATCACACCCTGTCTTGATTACTGCAGTGGTATTCTGTTCGGTGTGCCCTGCAAAGCCCTCTACGGGCTCCAATAACTCAGCTGCTACAGTTTTAACACGCACTAAATCCTGGCAGCACATCACCCCGACCCTAATGCTGCTTCACTGGTTGCCAGTCTCGCATCACTTACAAAATCCTCCTCATCACCTATATATTCCTCCATGGACTTGCACCACAATACCTTACTGATTTTATCCACCTGCATATCCAAAAACGTCTCTGCCGTGTTGCGACAAGGATCTGCTTGCTATCCCCCATTCCAGACTACAGCCTTTTGGGGACAGAGTCTTCTGTGTTCCAGCCCCCACACTCTGATTCTTGATGCCCAAAGGTTGAAAAACACCTCGAAAGCATTACATTCCCACCAACATGCTTGACTGTGGGGATGGTATTCTTGGGGTTGAATGCATTTCCTTTCTTTCACCAAACAAAAGCCACGTCCCTGTGTCCAAACAACTAAATCTTCATCTCATCCGACCACAGAACTGACCAAAAGCTTTCTTCTTTATCCAGGTGAGCTTTGTGTCTTGGAGAAGTGGAGTCCTCCTTGGTCGGCATCCAAAGAGACCAGCCTTGTGCAGTGTCTGCTGGATTGTCTGCCTTGAGATGTTGGTACCAGAGTTGCTCAGATTCATCAGGATAGCCTTTGTGGCGATCCTTTGTGCTGGTGATTCTTCTTGGCCTCTCACACTATTCTTGCTAGGTAATGGGTCACTTTTGGCTTCTTACCACACGCTTTGAGGTTTTTCACACTTTGGTCACTGGCACCTGAAAACACTTGGAAATGATTACAGTATATGCCTTCCCCTGTCTTGTAAGCAGCCATAAAGCGCTACCGGAGGTCCTCAGTAAACTCTTTCGTTTCAGCCATGACTTGCAGTTGACTAGTAACTGACTAGAGAACTACTTCTTCAGCTGTTCCCAATTTATAGATGATTTATAGGTGATTAGAATGCTCTCTCATGGTAGAACTTGCAAGACAATTTCAAATGGTATAGAAACTTGCATTTTCTCAAAGTTTTGCAATAAATTTCAAGGGGAATTAATCATTTTGGACTTGGCATTTAAGTACAAATAAGTTGATATTTATTTGGCAAAATCCACACCGACCCAGGCCGATCTGAAACAATGTTAGCAGAGTAGACTACTGTTATAAATAAAATAAAATAACAGTGAAGCATTGGCACAGATTCTCTGAATTTGGTTACACAATATTTGATGCGCAAATCACAATTGGTGACAAGTGAAGAACGGAATCCTGAGACAACACGTGTCACAAACGTGTCACAGAGCCACCTGCTGCTGGATCTGTAGATCTGGATGTATCGAGGATTGGTGACAATAATTTGGTGCAGTTTGAAGAAAAATACAGTAACACAGTGATCAAAGTCATGTAGCAAGCAGACAAAGTACAATGTTAAAAATCAGAGGCTGTTTGACTCCAGTTTCATCTGGTTAGCGAGCATGAATTGTCGGACTTTCCTTTAGTGCCCCCTTGTAGAGAGAAAGACTTCCTCCTCCAGGACCTTGAAAACATTTGTTCCCTCGATGGTTTGGCAGCAGGAGCACATTTAGCTCAGATCTGACTAAAAATCATCAGAATTACAGAAATGGGAGCAAGAATACGTTTTTGTAAAACATTTTGTGTATTTCATAATCATTAATTTTGTAAGTTAGGAATTTACTTCATTTTTATAATTAAGGTTTTAGCTGATTTCATAATCATGTTGAATTACTTAGTAAATAAGTTGCTTATTTTATAAGAATTTCACTTTGCTTGTACTTGAAGTATTTTTTTCACACATTTTGCTGTGAAATATCCTCATAACTAACATAATAACCACAATAGAAATATGAAGACATGTGTAGCAGGAGCCTTCAGAGATCATAAAGATGAAGATATGAATAAAAATGAGAATTTTATTTTATGTGGAGAGGTCGTCACTTTGGGACGTCTGTTAAGTTAAAGACGATATGAGCACATTTTGATGACAAAATAAGAAATAAAAAACACACTGTTGAACAGAGAGATGTGGAGAAGGACTTTCACAAGACATTCACACTCACCTGTGCAGGTGTGTTTCCTGGGAGGTTCAATACACAGACTTGATTGACTTGAAGACTTTTTAAATTTGCAAAAACACTTGTGAATTCTCTGGGCAGATGGCCAACATCTCAACATTAAAAATAAAAAAATCCACATCTAATAAACATTGTCCATCCCCTTTGGCTGTGGTTGAGCACCAAGCATCATTAATGTAGGTGCACATAATGCTGAGGCAGATCGGAGGGTAGGTGTGGAGGTTTGTGGGGTGAAGAGTTCCTTGGGGTTTTGGGGGGGGTTTCACCATGGATGCACCAGTGGGTAAGGAGGGACATCTTGTAATCCTGAGTGAGACAGGAAGCCAGTCGAAAGTCCAACAACACAATTAAATTATAAAATAAAAGGCTGCCAAACGCTGAGAATGTAAAAGTCTCCAAGTCAATGAACAGGACTGTTCAAAAGTTTCAAGAAACGTTTTGCTGCAGTCATTGCTGACGTACTCAGCATTGACTGCCTGTTTTTAGTAATGTAATGATGTTTTGGACTTTCTTTTGAGGACCTCGTAAAATGTTCTGACCTTATGGCTTCACAGTCAATGTTCTGCAGCCATAGATTGAACATTAAAAGCATGTATGTGCTATACAGGTGCTGGTCATATAATTCATCATCAAAAAGTTGATTTATTTCAGTAATGCCATTCAAAAAGAAACTTGGATATTATATTAATTCATTACACACAGACTGATATATTTCAAATGTTTATTTCATTTAATTGTGATGATTAAAACTGACAACTAATGAAAATCCCAAATTCAGTATCTCCGAAAATTAG